CCCCCCCCCCTTCCTTTCAGCTTGTCCATCAGTTGCACACCACAGCATTTACTGACACTGCAGTGTAACAGTGAGTTTCTGTATTTACAGACTTGGAAGCAGCATGGAAGAGAGGACAGTCAATGTAATGTGTGTGTTCTATGCTCACCACATAGCCATGCTTCAGAGAGGGCAGGTGGAGAGATACTAAGAGTAGGTCTGCACTGCCTGGTGACTCTCTGAAAGGAGGCAAACCCAGCAGCAAACCTTGACCATGCCTTGGTTGGACACAGTGCTAGCAGAGATGTCTTGCTTCAACTCTCCAGATGCGACCTTTCCAAGACGATGCTGCACTTCATGGATAAACCTGCTCCACTGGCACCAGCCCATGTGCCTGTTGCAAGGTTATCAAAGCTGGCACAAAAAGAGAGGAATAGTCTCATGTTTGCTAAGTGTGCCAAACATTTTCTATGGGAGAGCTTTTCAGGAGACAAATCAGTTTTCTGTAATTATTCCCAAAATTAGCTTGTCAAGCAAGATGCTTGTGGAGTGTGCTGGATTTATCTTGGCTTTGAACACATCAGCAAACTGAGGGTTGCCTGGTTTTGGGCCAGTTTCCTACCATGAAGCAGAAACACCTCTGATCTTGCTAGTATATAAAATGAAGTAAATATTTCCTTTCATTTGGGCAAAGCATAGCAAATGCCATAGGGATCAGTCAGATTTTCAGTTTCTTTTAATATAAAGATTCGTTTTAGGATAAAGAATTTAGTGGTTTTTTAAGCAGAAACTTTAAGATTAATGTCACTGTAGATTAAAAATCTTTATGAAGCACAAACTCTACCAGCCCAGCAGGAAATGTGTATATAACACAAGTCATATTATAAACACACTAATAAATCATGAGGTGAAGTCAGATCTGGTGCTGAAGTGACAGAATTGTAAAGCAGGGTGCAAGACTGTATGAGAAGATAAAATAATCTGTTCTGCTGTTAGCCTGGTCCGTGAGATAGCACCAAACAGCAAGCAGAGAGAGCTGTGGTGCCCCAGAGAGGGCACTGTCAAAAGAGGATGGTACACCCTTGTCCTGCAGGCCTTGGCAGGAAAAAGCAAATGATACAGTGGTGTGTTTGATCCTCAATCAAAAAAAGCAACATACTAGAGAAGACCCTGAATCAAATTCTGCCCCATTTGTAGTAAAGAGTGTCCTGAATGGCATTCAGACTCTCAAGAAATACTAACTGGCAACTGAGTACTTTCATTTAAAGCTTTACAGTTCTTCATCCAAAGGCTTCAAAGCATATTATGAGTGTGACAATAAAAGAAATCTCTTCAGCATTCCTGTGAGATCAGTAGATGGATCTAAAACTACCTCGAATGGTAGTGGTGTGACTGACTTCAGAGAATGACCCCAGAAATGGGCAGCAAGCTTCAGCAGAGCACTGGGGACAGGGGTGGGCCTCCCCAGGAATCCCTGCAGAGGTGTGTGGTTCTCTTTCCTTCTGCTGGATTCATGACCCATCCAACAGGGGTGCCCTGCTTCCCAAAGGTGCAATCTGTTTCTCTGTTTGGGTGAGAAACGTGACCAAGAGCACTTAATGCTAATCATGGCTTGGGCTGGAAGGGGCCTTTAAAGGTCATCCAGTCCAACTCCCCTGCATGGGCAGGGACATCTTCAACTAGATCAGGTTGCTCAGAGCCCCGTCCAACCCGACCTTGAATGTCTCAAGGGATCAGGCATCTATCACCCTTCTTGGTAACCTGTTCCAGTGCTTTACTACCCTCATTGTAAAGAATTTCTTCATCTAGTCTGAATTTATCCTCTTTAGTTTAAAACCATTACACTTTGTCCTGTCACTACAGGCCCTGCTAAAAAAAATCTGTCCTCATCTTTCCTATAAGCCCCCCTGAGGCATGGAAAGGCTGCAGTAAATCTCCCTCCCCGGGCTCCACAGCCCCAGTGCCGAAGTCCTGCGAGGTGAGGTGGGAGGCTTGTGCTGGGAACAAACCTCAGCCGTCTGCAGCTCTCCCCGACCGCACAGCGCCTGGTAAGAGTGTCGTGAATGCTGCTTCATGGTCACAAAAGACAGAGCTAACTGCAGGTGCAGCTCTTGGAGAAGTACTTGCTTTGCACTCTTTTTCTTTCTCTGGTTCACTTCTTTCTTGTCCTGTGCGAGCCCTGAAGCACATTTGGCGAGAGGAGTACCCCAGGTCGGCGGCAGGCCTTCCAGCCAGGGCAAAACACTGTCAGTCTGTGACATAAAGCTGCTGAAAACTCATTTACCCCTTCTCTGAAGCAACCACAACGCGCGCAGAGCGTCCAGTTCCCTCAAGGACCAACACGATCCCCAGCGCCCCTGGACGCGCGGCCGCGGCTGCT